GTGCTGGAGAGAAAAAAGCATCAGGAGTATCTTAGCTGGGGTTCCACTAAAAGCAGAGCCTGAAACAAGGAATAAGATGCATGTTAGTTTTCCCTAGAAATAAGAGGGAGGGAATAGCGGGAATAAGGAGAGGTTGGAGGAAAAGCCAAATAATGTTCCTAAAGGGTACCTAAGATTCCTGCCGTGGAAAATAGGACCTCTGAGAATGCCTACTGCTTCTCAGAATTGCCTGTTCAAAAGATTGGTGGCTGGAATACTTATCACACAGATTGCCCTTATCACACAGAACTAACAGGTGTTAGTTCTCCTATATTTCCTCCTATATTTCTGTGCTAGGCCTGAGGAATCATGAAGCAGGCTTCTGCAGCTCTGGAGAAGGCTCTGAGGCAGAAATTCGGATGATTCACAGTGTTCTGGAGGTGGGACAGCCCTGGCCCAGCCTAGGTTTCCTAGGAACTGTCCTCTAAAGCTATAGTAAAATCAGAAGGGGCCATGAGGCTCCAAACTTCTCTTCTACAAAGAGTCCTTCTGATAAGCCATGGAAAGCATCAGAAAGTGAAAAATGGTACTAGCAAAAGTGAATGCTTTCCCCAAAGATAAATCAGATATTTGGTTTTCTGGTAGCTTTGGCGCTTTGGCTTAGTTTCTAGATTATTATTAATCTAGCCACTAGATTATTGTAACCAAAGTTAAATGAAACAAAATAAAAGCGCAAGGACATAGAATCTTTCCCCTCCCAGAAGTTCTTACCAGGGTTAGAATCACAAGGGTTTTAAACTTGGTTACCTATATAGTCACCATACTGCCACAAAAAAAGATGTGGCTTCACTAACATCACTGCATCATTCAATTCTCTACACCTATAATCACCGAACACTCTAGTCAAAGCCTGATCGATGTAAGCTAGACTCTTCCATCTTCTCTAATGTCTCTATATTAGTCAGGCTGACGTCACAGTATACTGAAAATGACAAGTCACAACTTACCCTAGGAACATAATACAGGAAATTAAACTCAGCATTAAGGAGCTAAAAAGTTTTTGGTTTCTATTTGAAGGGGGCAAGTTGGTTGGTCTATCTAGTCTGACAGTAAAAGGTAAAATCATTTTAAAATAATAATTTCTGAGTAATTCAGTTTCATATTTAATGCATGGCTGTAATTTCTATCCAACCAAAGTACTACCTAAGGTTGCCAGATGAAATACAAACATTGCATGGGACATGCTTATCCTAAAAAAATATTCATTAGTTATTAGAAATTCAGATTTAACCAGACATTCTTTATTTTTGTTTACTAAATCTGGCAACCCTAGTGCCACCTCAAACAAGAACAGAGAAAGAAAGAACTGCTCACTAAAACAGACCCTAAGTGTTTTGGAATGATGTCCCATATGTTTTAGGACTTTCCAGTAGCAGCAATATTAATAAATTGATATCTGAATTAACTGTAATGGTCTACATATTGTTTTCTTAGGCATGTTTTTAAAAACTTTTCAAAGCATTTCAATAATTTATTTTGTCACAACATGGCAATTTGTATCTTGAAAAAAAATATTGTGATGGTAAGAGGAAAATCCCATTTCAAATCATTTCAAATGAACTTTCAAAAGACTCTCATTTACTTCAGTCAAGTAAGCATATCTTAAAATGTTTTCATATTATTCACTTATTCTCTTATAAATAAAACGGTAATCAACTTGTAAGTCCCAGAACCGTCCTGCAAAACTCTTTGATAAAAGAAACATCCAAAAAACACATAGAGAGTCACATCATTTTAGTTGCAAGATTCTTGTTCCAGCTCACTTTCCAAAACAATTTCAGTCAAGTAGAAATGCTCTGACAGTCCTCACTTAGAATAGCAAATAATCCTTGCCTTTTCATTCATTCACTCATTACCTCTCTAAAAAGAGAATGTGCAGTTACCAGAATTTTATACAATTAGTGCTCCAAGAGTGTTTTAAATGCAAACCTATAAGAGGAAAGTAAAAACAAATCAAAGTTAATTGTGACTGGCTGGAACAAAATGCTTAAATCAATAGAAGGATGGCTCATCTGCTCATCATTTACCCATTACCTGGGAGACGAACACCTCCTGCTGTGCTTGATTTTTGATACAGATTTACCATTGCCTGTGTCCTACAGACACACGCTAAGGAACCCAGACCTTATTTGGCTCCCTCTCTCATTATCTTCTTTGCACTTAATAACCTTACTCATTCTTATTTTATTATTGCTTCTGTGCTCTTCTTTGCAAGGTGGGCCTATACACACACTCAAAATTAGAGTTTTAAAACCTTATAAAGAAGCTAAGGACCTTACTGCAAAGCAGCCAGAGAAGGCACCAATATCTATCTATGAATTGCTGTCTTCCCTCCACTAATCATAACCTGATTATTATGATTTTTCAGAAACCCCCTCAAATAGAATACAACTTCTTTCACAAAGCATTCCTTGGGGAAAAAAATGTTCGTTAAAATATTAAGATAGTAGAATCAAATGAAGAGAAATAAAAGCCCCCTTATTTGGAAATATAAGGTAGTAAATTCTTTACTGAAATGGCGGCCTTTAAACCCAGACAGTTTCCAGGTGACAGACTTTGGGGAACAGTGATGGGCAGATACCTCCTCAGAGTTGGAGCCTCTGGCTTTTGAAGGCCATGAATACTCTTCACTCTTATCAATGAAGACAAACTCATCTTGAGACCTATGCTGCCTCTCTGCAAATGCCCTTTACCATAGCCAAGTACCAAACAAATGGAATGTAAAACGTACCTGCAACTGAAGGTTAATACCTATCCCTGAATTAAGTATACACCAAATTTAGGTATCTCTGCACAAGATGATTGTGTTGATACATTACTTTTTTCAGACGATCGTACAAGTGAAAATCTTGCAGCTGTATCCTAGTAGTAGTGGTAGTAGTGACGATTTCCAAGGAAAAAAGATGTAAAAGATCTTTGAAATAAATTCTAATTTTTCTCATTCTATTTGACAATTAAACAGATGATGTGTAACTACTACCACCATATATTTACTGGCGATTACCTTCTGTTAGCTTTCTAGCTATGTTTTTTACTTGTACACATGGATTAGCTAATATAAGAACAAAGAGATGACCACATGTGAATAGTAAATGGACTAATGCTATATTACATTTTTAGCCAAGTACACCCAAATAGGCCAACCGGTCACTTGAAAGTTAGAAATATGGTTCCCATTTTTAACATTGGAGTATAAATATAAATGAAAAAACCTAGGAACACATTGATACAACAGAGGAAAACAATAGCATAGTTCAAAGGATGGAAATTTTGATGGTGTACAGAAGGAAAAAGAATAAGGAAAAGTCTAATAAAAGTGATAGTCAGCTTTAGCCTTTCAATTGACTATTGGCTTATATTCCACCACCACTCCTCAGTGTGACCATTTAACTAATTAATTAAAAGAAAAAAAAATCAAAAACAAAAAAAAGGGTGGAAAGAAAAGAAAAGGAAGAATTAAGAAAAAATTAAAAAAAAAAAAAAACACCTTTAACCAACACTAAAAAGCCACCAAGGATTGGGGTGGAGGGTAGTCACCTAGCTCGCGGTTTTATTTAGTGACGGTTCCACTTTTTCACTCACTGCCTGCAAATCAGCATTTTTAGTGGACAAAGGACTCAGCAGCGGCCTTATGATTGCTTCTTTTCAAATGGTAATGGCTATCCTAACTCCTCTGCCAGGTTTTTCTTACCAGAGCACAAATTGCAGTTTACAAGGCTCTGAGGGGGAAAAAAATCTTAGCTGAATATCTTTTTTTTTATTCGACAAACTGACATGTAAATTACCCTTTAAGTGCTCCACTCTAGGGCTCTGATCATCTCCTAATTGTCACAGTCAATTGTAGCCAACAGTCTCTTCAATCCCAAGCGCTTTGACAACAAGCACAAGGATCAAAGCAGAATCAGCTCCCTGCAATATCCTTCTGTTTAGGATGCTACAAAAAGCCCGCAAAAGAAAGGTGTAAGGGCATTGCTGTAGAGGAAACTGAGAGTAGCAAGTATTACAATAGTCATTTTCGTCATCTCTGAAATTATGCTGTATAAGCTGCCATGATCTTTAATCACATGTGCAGAACAAATACATAAACCTCCCGGGCAATTAATATGCTCTTAAGATTATACTAATAATCGAGCTTTACAAACAAGACGGTCTCCATGGCTTAGGAAAACTATAACACCGTTATGGGATAGCAATCATTTCATAGCAGCTTGAGTATCAAAAACTATTGTCAAACATACTCCATATTTCAGCATAAATTCTAAAGCACAGTTTTGATTACTTGGTTTGGTGTCAGGATTCACTGCTTCTCCAAACTAAATAGCCCATTGCAAATTCTAGAGTTTCTTAAAAATTAACCTAGAAATGTCCAACTGGAAATGTGGCACCAAATCAATTAAAAATGTGACACAAAAACTAATTTCAGAAGAATAGATTTTTTTTTTTTTTCTTACCAGAGGTAACTCTGTCTTACTGCTTTACTGGAAGCAAACTTATTAAAAGTCATTACATGATCTACAAACATAATCCCTAAATAAGATGTAACTATCAGGATCATTACTTTATAAAATATATCAATTCTTTCTAAGGTAGTTATCACATATCACTAACTTTTTAAAAAGAATACTAATGTTTTTTCAAAAGATACATAATTTAATCCTATCAATTATAACAATATAATAATTCAGTAGAGAGAAATATCTGATGACAAATCTGTATAAAATAGCTACTTTAAAAATAGCCTAAGGGTTGTCAGAAAAATGACAAATGGAAAGAAATCAAAGACGTATTTGATACTCCCCTTACAGCTTGTCTTGTTGTACCCAGGTATTATGCACATACAGCATGTAAGGTCACACATTGATTGACAGCCCTCCTATGCTAAAGAAAAGAACTGAAAAAAGAGGCAGCACGTGGCAAATACCTCAGGTTCCTTTCTCAGCTAGTTCACTCAAATCCCCCTGTAGGGGTTTCCAATCCTCCCCTCAATTTCACCTTGAATTCTCTGGTTTGATTGAAGAGCTTCACAGAAGGGTCTATTACAGATTGAGGAATGATCCATTTCACATCCGAAGCTCCAAAGAGCTACTTGTGAGGAATCTTTGAGTGCATTTATCTCACATGTGAAGCTTTCTGCAAAATCAATATGGGTATTTTTCAGTTTGACAAGTCAACATGAAATATCACATAATAATAGAAAAACAGAGTTGTACATTTAAACACAGCCAATACAGTTATCTATCTATGACAAAGCTTATAGTTATTACTTATGGATATTCTTGAATATGTCTGCTCTAAATTCATCCTGATGGCTGAGCTAAAGAGCATAGAAAGTGTAACTGACTGGCCATCATATTTCTGGCTGTTATGTCCTAATTAATCCAGGTTTTGTGGTGAGCGCAGAGAATGGGCAGGAATCATGGCCTTTGCTTCTAATGTGAGATTGATATGATAAGAGGAAGAAAGTAACCAAAGGTGAAAAAAAAGAAAGAAAGAAAGAAAGAAATAGAACAAAGGAGAATTATTTTAAATAATTCACAGTTAACTAATTGGCGAAACTGGGTAAAATGATCACCCAAAGAATGACAACCATGTCTTAAATCCCCACCACAACTGAGGCAAGTACTAGCAGAATAACTGACATATTTGTGAGTAAGTGACGTATTTGTGTTGGGGTCTGACAATCTTTGGGTGAATTCCAAGTTTATTTTACCATCTGCATAAGCTTGAGGAACATGATTTCTCATCTCCAAATCTCTGTTTTTTCATTTTGAAATGGGATTAATCATAAGATTTTATCTTGTACGCTTTCATGAGAGTTAAACAAGATGCTGCATAAAGCACCTGGCACATAGAGAATGTTTCACTGTTGGTAATTATTGATGAAATTATTATAGTTTCATTGAACCCATTCACCACATCCCTAGGGCTCTAACCTGGTGCCACTTCTACTGTCTCCTGGGACCTTTCTACATTGTTTGGTGTTCCCAAGTGGTAGATGACAATTCTGGTCAGAGTGTGCTCACTGAATTAGCTCTGGTCCTCATAGAAGAGTGCAGTGCTTGTCTTAAAAATAATCTTCCTCCAGCCAGGAAGGCTGTCCTCATCAACCACATGGGAGAAAACCAGATGGGAATGTGAAAAGGAAATAGAACTCAGGCGCAGAGTCCAAATCAGCTGATCAATCCAGGCAATCAGTGAGGTGAAAGATGGAGAGAAATGTCACATATGGTTTTTCTTCATATGGCAGTATGTTACAATTAATAATGGAGTTATCTCTATATACCCCACGATAGGAAAGACCTTAAAAACAAACAAAATAAACAACCCTCAGGAGAAACCCAGATCTAGTTAAATAGATCACAGTAACTATTTATTTCTCTCTCACATTTTTCATAACCTATCATTATGTAATACCTGATTATCTGTGCTTGGGCCAACTAATTTGTAGAATACTTGAAATATATTTCAAATTTTTTTTAATTAAAAAATTTTGATTTTAGGTTAACTCTCCCCACCACTCAGAATAAATCCAGAGTAGACAAAACATGTGAGTTCAGAGTCATAAAAATTCATGTTAAAAACAAAATAAGAAAGAACATCAGGCCAGGCGCGGTGGCTCATGCCTGTAATCCCAACACGTTGGGAGACTAAGAAAGGCAGATCACCTGAGGTCAGGAGTTCAAGACCAGCCTGACCAACATGGTGAAACCCTGTCTCTACTAAAAATACCAAAATTAGCCGGGCATGGTGGCACATGTCTGTAATCCCAGCTACTTGCAAGGCTGAGGCAGGAGAATTGCTTGAACCCGGGAGGGAGAGATTGTAGTGAGCTAAAATCGTGTTATTGCACTCCAGCCTGTGCAACAAGAGTGAAACTCTGTATTAAAAAAAAAAAAAAAAAAGGAAAAGAAAAGGAAAAACATCATTATAAAGCACAATTGAAGTTTAAAAACTCATATCCTATATTCCAAACTCAAATAACTAAGTATAAATGACTTTGTGTTTAATTAATTCAAACAATATATATCAAGAAATTAATATATGCAATACTGTTAATTTTTTAGCTACCCTACTGTTCTCCATTATTAAAATTAAGCTACAGCTTTCATTCCAAAGACAAATTAAAATATTTTCTTACATGCTGATATAGAATTACAGGTACAAATCGAAATAATTTCCTACTTAAAAAGGGTCATTTCTTTAAAATTTTATTTATTTGATTTGGATTCAAAATACATCTTTACTAAGGAAACAAATTTATAAATAATCATTAAGTTCGCAGATTGACACATAAAAACATGTTTAATGTAAACTGTATCTGAAACACACTAGTAATACCAAGTCTTGAGCAACTCTAGGTTATAAGGTCTATAAATAAATTTAACCATGTGAAAGCTTAGGGAGTATCATCGGGCACTAAGTTTACAAATTTTGGGACATACCAGGCAAGAGATCAGACAGAAGGATGGATCAGTTATGAGTTCAGGTGATCACCATTCTTATCACCACCACCATGTCAACATCATCATCATTATCATACCATATTTCACCCAACATATTAGTACAACATAACTATTAAAATGATAATGGTAGGTAGCCAATAAGATGACATCTCATCATCTTGTATTTTTAAGTGGGTAGAAATGAAGTGTAGCAGGATGTCAGAAACTTACTATACTCTCTCTGGCACATAAATATCTTCCATGACTTTTATATTTCCCACTCAGGACCCTGAGCATTTTTAATGTACTTTCATTTAAGCAAATAAAGCTTCTAAAATATCAGTCCACGTTTCAACATCTCCTACTTTTAGATTTTGCCTTGTACTATGGCAAGCCAGACTCCTTAAGCACAGCTTTGGAAGGTCTAGGAAAGAAACTAGCTTAGGACCCATTTAGCATATTCCTTAGCATTCTGGTAGTACCACAATATCAAGGTGAATATTTGCCTTAAAAAAAACTCTCGGTGGAAAATAATTTTACAGCTTTTCTCAATTATGTATTTCAAAGTTTATCCTCCTTCAGTATCAGGGTTTTCTGCCTTATCCCATTTCTGGTTTTGATTTTAATTATAAACTTTACTACTCAAAACTATCAGTAATATCTGTCTTTCAGGTACTGCAAGTGTGCCAGTAATAAGCCTCATGTAGTTCAACTAATAAAAATGCTGACTATGGGCACTCGTTCCTGCCACTTGTCCATACATTTCAAGTAAGTACACACTATCACTATGGTTTGCAATCTAAATGGTTTGCCAACCTAAATGGCCTCTGTCCTCATCATGTTGTATCACAAAACATATGCATGCCCTCACTTTAAATGGAATTAAGCAGAGGCTGGGAAGGAGGAAAAAATAGGGAGTTATTGTCTAATTTTTGGAGTTTCAGTTTTGCAAGATGAAAAGGTTCTGGAGATCTTTTGCAAGGCAATATGCATATACTCAACACTACCAAACTATATACTCAAAAAATGGTAAAGATGGTAAATTTTGTGTTTTTAACCACAATTTTTTAAATAAAAAACTAATAATGTAGTCAAAGTGCTTTAAAAAATCTCATATCCTGTTTTTTAAGTGTTAGGCAACCAGGATCCTATATCTCATACCTAATTTCTTTCCCATAAAAATGTTGCCTGGGAAATTGTCTCTAGAGTTTTCAGTTCCAAATGAACTAATATATGACTTGACATAGGATAAATTGCACATGAAAATACAAGTCAGACTGGGCGCAGTGGCTCACGCCTGTAATCCCAGTACTTTGGGAGGCCGAGGTGGGGGGTCACGAGGTCAAGAGATCGAGACCATCCTGGCCAACATGGCGAAACCCCGTCTCTTCTAAAAATACAGAAATTAGCTGGGCGTGGTGGTGCTTGCCTGTAGTCCCAGCTACTAGGGAGGCTGAGGTAGGAGAATCGCTTGAACCCGGGAGGCGGAGGTGCAGTGAGCAGAGATTGCGCCATTACACTCCAGCCTGGTGACAGAGCGAGACTCCATCTCAAAAAAGAAGAAGGACAGAAGATGACGGGAGAGAGAGAGAGAGAGAAGAGAAAGAAGGAAGAGACAGAGAGAGAAGAAAGAAAAGAAGAAAGAAGAAAAGAAGAAGAAAGAAAGAAAGAAAGAAAGAAAGAAAGAAGAAAGAAAGAAAAAGAAGAAAAGAAGAAAGAAGAAAGAGAGGAGGAGAAAGAAAGAAAGAAAATAAATACAGGTCAAAACTAAGAAAATTAATCAGACTCCGATTATACAATTTCACTTCTCTTTTGAAAGATTCGAAGAGTGAAGGACAAGAAAACCACCACTCCCAGGTGCTCTGTTGTAAGGCTGCAAGTACCATACACTGTTATCATTTAGAAACTCAAAATTTCACTGACTCTTCAGAGGACCAAGCAAAAGTTGAAGCTCATTGAGACAAAAATACTTGCGCTCAAACCAAACTAGTTTTCAGTGGTTTCTCCATTTTTGTAACAGAAGTTCCACAGTACCTTACCGCTCATTTTCTTTAGGGTTGCTGATTTTTTGTCTTTAATATTTTAACCTGATTGATTTTTTTTACAGTTTTTTAAAAAGTTATATTGTAAAATAAAGACTTTTCAAGATTCAGGGTCATAATGCCTTTTTTTTTTTAACAAGCTGATCTAATTTATATTTGTCCCACACAAAGTTAAGACACAGAAGCTTCAAAAGAAGCAGACAAAATGGGACCACAGTAGCTTATGGAAACTAGTGTCTTTATAATCCTGCTTCATATACACAGAATGAAATCAATCAACAGCAAAAGCACATAGTTCCTTTTTAATGTAAGATCCCAGGGATAGAATGATAGGATAAAAGCTAACAGACATGGTGCACTGATTCGAAAATTTATTATAATTTTTTTCTGCATTCCCACTTCACTTCAATCATTCTGTGACCTAATCATTTGCTTTTAACATTTATTCTTACAGTCTACATAACTTATTAGATTAGGGGTAGCAGAACCTTGAGGGCTGGTGTGAATTTGAGTGTTGTAATAATACTAATAGTTTTAATAATAATAGTTACTTCTGACAACATCTCTCAGGCAATTATATCATTTCCTTAGAACAATCATGTGAGTTTAGTATCTATATCTCTCTGAGATATGAGGAAATTAAATA